AGAATAGGCCTTCGTAATCTTAAAGCGAGAGCACTAAGAAAGAGCTGACATCCGTAGCTTTGGTCCGACGAATGCAAACAATAAATATCAGTGCTCCAGCAAGAATTGAATTCCGGCATTCTGCTTGGAAATCAAGTATTCTACCACAAAGTCATGCCAGGTCTCGCAACTACTTTTTGAATAGACTCTAATGTTCGTAAAACGCCCAGCATGTTTCCACAGCTGGCTACGTTCAGTGTTTTAAACATTACATATGTACTCCTATCATACAGCTGTCACGTCGGGTTAATGTACTTGGGCACCATCCGCTGAAGTTTATTTATGCAGCAGTGTTCGGGGCTATTATCCTTACGAGCGCAAGTGTGGCATATTTGCTTACTACATCTGGTGGTCTTGCTAATACCCTTGTTACTGTAAGTATCCTGACGCTGCTGTACACAACTGTTTATATAGACCATAAGCCACTGTTCAACATAAATCTGTGCGTAGAATTTTTAAACATGTCTTTAATACTATTTGCTAACGTCTCACTTCCCTCCGCATGCTTCGCATAACATAGATTTTAGCGTACATAGAATCTTCCGAGTTTTTACTTTCTACCTTTTATCTTTTCTTCCTCACCATATTTGCCACTTTTCCTTTTTGTCACACATCTAATTCTCCTCTATCGTCACTCCCGCAAGCTGCCAGTCTGCAACCAGTACTGTGAGCCACAGACAGCCTTACTTCACTCCCCTGATCGCACCGTCGCCTTCGGTCATCAGCCACCCACTCACCAGCTTCCAGTTCCGGCGGGGTATACACTTCAGACACTCGACACACTGCGTACTACGGAAAGGGGAGCTCTAAAGATACCGCAGGCTGGTTAACTTCGGTGCTTAACAGACAGTTATTTTGAAAGCTCTTAATCTGGTCTTGCTTTAAGGTATAACACTTTAAGACATGATCAAGGGCGGTCACACGAATACGACGAGTTAGGCACCGTCAGGGAACATTGAGTCAAGGTAGTATAGACAAGAGCAAGCCTATCTCGAATCCAGGCGCCTTCGGCGGTATAACTCGCTCCCAAAGACGCCATAATTTGTTTGCAACTGTCAAGGCGCGCCTCGCTAGCATGGAATGCAGTGGGTCTGAGAGTTTCAAATGCAAAAAAGCACCTAATCACGATGCGCCTTTTTATAAAATGTCATCTAGCTACCACTGCGCTGTCATCTGATGCGACAACAACCAGCGCAAAAGGAAGAGTTTGCTGAGCACTGCGTGTGAAGTTCGCAGCGCATCGCAGTAATCGTATTGGTGCGGTGTTCTGTGATTGCACAGATTTCCGTCCACCACGAAAAACGCAGAGCTCCACCACCTTAGGATATAATCACAATCAGCAGGAAAAACTACGAGCCCTGTGAAATGTACGAGTAAGTAAACCTATTGTGTTTATTCAAGCGTGACTCCAGCTGGTTCACTTTACAGCAGCAATTTGCGTGCAGTATGCCTATAGTATGAGGCACAAAACTATTGTGGTACTTTTTGGCAGGCCGCATGTCAATAATAGGATATACATATTACGACTCACGTGTGAATGCACGCACTGCACATGTTTAGTACTACAGTAACGGCCTACTATCGCGATGCGTGAATGGCGCGGAAAACATTACCTTCGAACTGGTCAAACTGCGACATGTCTTGACTGTCACTGGGCGAATCTACATGTGCTTTCGGCCGGCGTCACCGTAGCATTTGAAAATCTTGTTCTGGATGGCACTTTTTCAACGCATGTGTGTTCCGAGTGCCCAGTAAGACTGCAATTAATACACATGCGGTGCATCAACGTAAGTTGGAACCAGATTCTAACGCTTGTTGACGCCAGCTTACAGCACAAATTCCGCCTTGTCACAGCCAAGGCGCGCTGCAGTTCAAGTCGAAAGCAACGCTTTCCGCTGTTCGCGTTTTTTTCAATCGCAATAGTACGAACTTGATGAAGCTGCTTCCGTAGTGTGCATTGCATGTGGTGCAGGCATTCCGGTCTGTCGAGGAAGGTGTCCTCGGCGTTTCACACAACATCAGCATAAACTTCCAGCACAGGAACAGTGCGAAACATGCTTACAGCTGGACTCGAGCTGTCATGTTTAGCGTTTGATTTGCAGAGAGTCTGCTCGCCTGGCAGTTGAGAGTGTTGCTTCACCACGCTTGCAACAGACGGCACCACGTGCTTCTAAATATGGGAGAAAGCACTGAGCTCGCTGTGTTCTGGTGTATAACCTTGCATCGAGTACGGTGGCTCACTTTCACAGATCCATGGCAAGGCGATGATTCGGAGGAGACGGGTGGGATAACAAAACCTTGTTTTGAGAGCGGAAAGATAGTGTACGTTGGGGACAGTTGCTTACCGAGGAGTCGACACAACAGCTTTATGTAACGCTACCCAGCTTGGTGTTTTCCTGCCAGAAGCAGCTAAAGCCTGTTTTAAATGTGGAGCATTTCTTAGTCGCATGATGTCGCTCTTCGGCCACAGTGGCGACTCGCGTGTCGTGCCGACCCAGGAAGACACTCGCAAAACAGTCGCTCCCCTCACCCTGTCTCGCCTCGCAAGACAGACGCAGGGAGCATCTGCTAGTAAAAAAACGACTACTCGCACTCTGGATTGTGCATTCAGAATTCAGTCAAGGGCATCTTGGCTTTTGTTTGACGCAAAAGGCAACGATTCTGCTGTATTCAATAAAGAAGAATATAAAGACGAAATAAACAGGACAAATGAACATCTTTCTTTGAAATGCAAAAATAATGTAGCGTGATTAGCACTGCATAGATGAGAGAGCTAGCTATGACTCCAATTTTATTTGACATTGTTCTAAAATTATTTCCCAGAAGTGTTACAGGTGTAATTAACCAGAAATATACAGAGAAACGGTTAAAGTTGTGGCTGTGAAGGAAATCCTCTCTTTAGAAGTTATCTCGTGTGCTGCAGGTATGTACGCAATAACTGAAAATTGGACAGGGCTTCGTTTATGCTAAAGGTATATTGGCGAAAACAGGCCGGGCCCAAACTTTCGGGCGTGGGCCGAGTACGGGCCGCATTTAAAAACCTCGGGCCGGGCTCGGGCAGGCCGGCGCACGAATTTTTCAGGCCGAGCTGGGCCCGGGCCAGAAAAATCGGCTCGTGCAGTGCTCTAGCACGCATCGCGACTAGCTAGGCGCTGACCTTTGCGCTGAGCGGGCTCATTGTGCCGTCTTGCTGGTAATGCTAAAAACACACTATTTCCCGCGTGGTAGATATAAATAGCTTGTCATTGCAACGTTGAAGAAGGTGTTCCTTTGTGGCTGTGGCTAATGCCAAGTGCTCCCGAACAAAATGATAGACAGACGTTTGATTCCGCGCGCCAGAGCCTTTTTCTGGATTTTCTTTCTTGCAACTTTGTATATATAGATACGTATACATATGCGGTGAATGACGGCGACGTTGATGCCGACGCCAACGGGAAAATCCAGCCGACAATGGCCATATAATTGCTATTGCAATAATATGTAAGCGTAATATATTCATTTAACTTTCATGTAGAGCTTTGTGGCAGTGCGGATTTGTCCTGGAAAGGTGCAATCATGGTAAAGCACCCCTTTGCTGCAGTGAAGCCACCTTTACAAAAGAGTTAAAGGGATATTAAAGGCAAATAAAGTTGATGTTGGTTGCTGAACTGCGGTCCAGAAACCTTATAATGCTACTTTTGAACCAAGGAAGTGCTTATTTTGACATAGTTGTCTGCATCAGATTCGCAAACTTCAAATCACCAACCTCAAAGTAAAACCGTGCACAACGTTGTCCGGCTTTACTGCGTGGCGGTTGACACTCGTAGCAGGAAAGCGAAAGTAGCGGAAGTCATAGCAGCAACAACAGCGTTTGAACAATTTCCTGCCATGCCCTTGAAGGTGGCTGGCATGCTTCATTCAACTGGGCCCCGCTAGATGGTACGACCTGTCCAGTTTAACCAGGTGAAAATTAAACTTTTGAACCACTCGGGTCATTCCCAATTGTAACGTTAGGCGGCTCTTTTTTTCGTGAGTCAAACAGAAATGAACTAGTCACATTTCATTACATTTCTGGATGCACGAAAGGTTCTTTATTTAGTGCAGCTAGTTCGATTACAAATGATTAGTTGTAGGCGATACCTCTCACATCATTTTGTGAATGTCCTACTGATAGTGCATGTGTTCTTGTGCATTTGCCATAATTTCTTGGTAAGTAGGACGGTGCTGCTGATAATACTGTTGTTTTAGACGTTTTTATATAATGAGCTCTCACTCTGACATAAATTGTTATTTCACTTGATTGCCTTTAGTGTCCCTTTAAATGCAGAGTAAATGCACATATTTGTTAATTTCTTATATTTAAATTCAATCGAAGCAAATTCGAGCCCTGTAATACTCATTTGAATGTTCACAGCCTCGAATATTTGCACAAGCTTCCAGAAGTTGAATGCAATAGATCTGCCTGACAAGATTTTGCATTTACCACATCCTTTGAAATGCAAGAGGGTCGAACGTAGCATGCAGTATGTATGGCATAATGTTCTTTCGTGAACAATTATTTATTGCATCAGCTTATACCAAAACTAATAAAATGTCCAATGTGCCTAAACTGTGCTGTCTGCAACCATGAGGCACAATTTCATCTTACCACGACTTTCGAAAATAGCAAGATTGCATGTGCACAAGACATTTCACATGTGATCAAAAGAAGTAGCAAATGCTGTCAAACACGCCTACAGTGCTGAAGCGTCTTTTTTAAATTGATCGTGCTCTGTTCTTGTAACCCCCTACATGAGATGCAGTCTCGTGTCTCCTCTGTTTTTTTCCCCTTGATTTTGCACAGTTACCTGTTTTTAAAAGAGTGCACCAACTAGCCCCTGAAGCAATTTCAATAAATTGTGGCATAATATTTTCCTTCACAAAGAATGAAAAAGAGCAGTGCACATACTCACGCAGTTATGTGACCCTGCCTGACTGCTTACCCGAAATTCTTTCTTCAATGCAGCAAACAGCTGGACGTGCACTTGACCATCTCTGCACAATACACTGTCACCTACAACGAGGGTGGAGAATTGAGCGGTCATATTATTTCAGCTGAAACAAAAGGAACAGATCCGGGAAAAAAGACACAGCGATACTTGACATGACCTTTTTCTATTTCAATTTGCACTCCGTCTCTCTGATAACAAGGTGTCAATCTGGATGCTATTCCACTCCAGTGGCCATGCATGACGAGCACCCTAGTGACATTTTATGTGCATTGCATGAATGGTCAGGATCATCGTTGACACGACTGCGGATGCTGACTACGTGCAAGAAATATGCACTAACAGAAATGCATACATGGTAATAGAGCTTCAATGCCAACCCACACACATTCAATAGGAGACGACCCATGGCTTATTTACAGAGCTTAGGACCAACGTGTGGTGGAATGAGCCAGCTACACAACAGTGGGAGAACTCCTACCACAACACCATCACTTTCCCCCATATTCACAAACCTAACTTAACCTCATCCTTATGACTTGAGTCAACCTTAGCCATGAGTCCGCCCTTAACGCGTTTAAAGAACCTACTTTGTACTTATTACAGAACTTTCCTCACTCGTATTTAAGGGGAGATGTGGGTCGAAAAACGCGAGTTTTTTTAAAAATTACCGATTCTTTATTTTTTGGCCTGTTTTGACAAGATTAGTACCTCCACTGTTATGAAAAAAATATTACAGGTCGAGACTTAACTGGAAATGCTTTAAAATTTCATCTAAAGAGCATAAGGTGCCTGTTAAAAGGTCGAAAGTGTGCATTCTTCGAGCACCTTGCCGCCGATAATGTGCCGCCGCTATCGCATGAGTCGAAGAGTCGAGCCTCACTCTTCAAATAACAACAGTTTCTCTCGCTGATGCAGCGCAAGAAATAATTTAAAGAAGCACTCTTCTGTGCGTTTTTCGAGCGCCGCGACTGGCTTATCACATGGTACAAATCGGGGACCGCCATTGGCCGCTGCGCGCCTATATGTGCTGTGAAACCTGTTTGCGGGATCCATGTCTTGTCGAGCAGCGCAGCTGAACAATGCTTTTCTCGTGCAATTATCTCCGTTATGAATGAAAAAAAGCATCGCTTGCAAGTGAAAGCCATTGTGCAGCGCGCTTTGTAGGAATAGGCTACGAGCAGCTGGTCCGATTTGCGGCAGTTCTTGGCTTGCAAAAGCCAATGCATCAAAAGTCATTCACACCCGTCAGCTGGAAAGTTCGTGATGCGGCAATGGATGACGTCAGCGCCAATCTTGAAAGGTTGAAAGAGCTCGAAGTGAGAGAACTTAGCAGGGACGACATTGCCATTATGTACGATGGTATGTGGCACAAACATGGCTGCAAAATGGCATAACACTGGACTTAGTTTGGATTTCGCAGTCCTGTCGAACTTCTTCCTAGCTTGCAGTTGGCACAAGGCTCAGCCAGATGGAGCGGAAGTTTGGCAAGCGTTTCATGGCCCTGTCTGTGAGCGAAAAGTCTGTGAGGAGTCGGCTCGAAAACGCCGAGAGGGACAAACTCATGGTGCTAGCGTATTTTAGTCGCAGTGGCCACTACAAGAAGGATTGTTTTTTTGGTGTGCAACTTTCATCTGACTTAATAATATCTTTCATAAACAAAACCTCAATTTTAACTTTAAAACTCATTTTTTTCAAAACACAAATTCTGCCAATTTTTCCAATGTGCCCCTCCTTTTTCGGGCATTTCTAGTGCTCAAATCTGCATAAAATTTTGCCCAATTTTATTTCCAAAGTATGACAAATGCAATTATCTAGTTTAAATTTCAACATATTATTGTATAATAAAACAATTGTATGTATACCTTTACTAGGGCCGGTGAAATATAGACTTTTTACGTCTATTATTTTTCACGCATATTAAATATTTTGTATGTGCTTTCTAATTAGTTATTTGCATTCTAGACTTTATTTGAAGCATGATGAACTGTGAATGATAAAAAATTACAGAATTTTTTGGATGAAAAGAGGGGGGCAAAAGGGTTAAGGTTTTCACTTTGTCATGTTGCAGAGCTAAAAGTGTGTAACTTGCAAGAAAACTAGTTAAATATTTGAAATCAGCATAAAAAGTTCCATAAACAGCTCAAGCTTCATTCCTCTGGTGTGGATATTAAAGAAAAAGTGTCTTCGAGTAGCAGCTCCCCTTAAGTAAGGCTTGGTTAAGGTAGCTTATGACCTACCTTAAAGCTTCCTTAAACAACATGATAGAGGTCGACAACTTTGCATAGTCGGTTCATTATGTGGATTCCAAAGAAGATATACTGAATGGCACAGTGTACACATCATCACCCTGGCGAGTCCTCAGGAATCGACGAAACCTAGCTGAGAGCAGGAATTTTCAAGCCGCTCCCGTTTCACAAAAAGTGCCACAAGGGTGAGACAGCCGAGATTGAATTGGGAGCAGTTTTCGGAGCAGCAAAATTTCAATTTCGAAGAAGATGAACCTCGATTTGGAGCAGTCAGCGGCATTTAATATGTTGTCCTGGGAGCTTGAAAAAGCAAATTTTTAGCAATGTGGGGGCACAAGTGCATATTTTATGTTACTTATAATAGACATTACACTGAAACAGACTTTGAAGAAAGTTTTTGAACAGATTATCGCCAGGTATAAACTGCACTACTTTTTACATACCACGCGATTCATCCAGCCCTTGTAACAAAAGTTTCACTTTGTGAGGGGGACGAGCATGCACGGTCCACATTTGGAAGCAATTTTTCAGGAAAAAGGTTTTAAAAACTAGGTTCACCGGAAAAATTTGGAAAGAGAAATGCGTCAGACTCATAAAAAGTTTCGAAAAATGTGATTGCACAAGAATCATAGTTACATAACAGTGAGCCTTCGGTAAATAAAAGTGACATAATATCGTCAGGTTAACTGCAAGCTTTTAACCGACCACAAAAGTGCGATGCATCGCCGTTCACAACCACCTCGTAAGAAACAACTTTCGACAGTGTGGCGCAGAAGCCGAGAAAATTCATCTCACCAACTATCTCGTTTGGCGCATGAGTATGGCACTAATTGATAAGCAAATGGTACTAGGTAATAATGCCTCTCGGTGCACGCAACCACGGGATCGCAAATCGTGCAAGTTTTATACCGTGCACAGTGGACTACTATTTAGTGCTGCACCAAGTGAGTCTCTCGCTACCTGCAGACACTGATGTGCAGAAGGCACGCGCATAGGTGACCCCATGCAGCATTGCCGACATGAAAGCCGCAATGACCCAAGGAACGTGCTATGTACGCACAACAAAAAACCTGAGAGTCAAAATCTCGCTACGCATGCCATTCGGTTAGGGTGGCTAACTCGGTTGTTTTCGCAAAGTGACAGTGGCGCCTGAACACACGGCCTACGTAGCAGAAGCACGCTCGATGCACGGCAGCACACTTTTCAAAGGTCAGGCATATTCTACAACAATCCACGGGAGATTAGAGCCGCGCCTTCATCACAAGAAATTTGTCAAGTAAAGAACAAGTAGGGCTTATCTTCTTTTTTTGGTATCCCTGGTGCTGTTCAGAAAATCATGTAGTCAACTCAACCTTTTTTCTTAAGCTGAGGTTTGAATAAAAATTCTTCCTTGTTTCGGAGCAGTTCAGCGCACTTTTCGCGATTCTTATGCTATCGGACCAGTTGGAAGCGAGAAAACGGGAACTCATCAAAAATGCAGAATATGTGCAGCTGTCTCATTCCTGCATGAAGAATCTATCGCTGTGCTGTTTCTGCAGGAAAATATCCATGGTCGTGGATTTGTTTGTGCCCCGTCTCAAGCAGCTGCTTATCGCATTGCTCTTTTATCAAATTAGCACGTGGCAACTTAGGAGCGACCACCTTGTCAATGTCTCATAGCCAGCGATGTCAGGAGTATACAATTGAGCAGATACCTGCTATGGTTGCAAAAACACTTGTTCCTGTACTGGTATAACTTATCGAAGTGGCGCAAACACTTTCTAATTGCTTAATCGGCCACTTTTGGATGCACAGTGTGTCGATTGTTGAATTCTATCGCGAGCTGCTTCCATGTTTTTTGTTTTCTCCGAAGGCACAGGGTGTCCGTCTTAGTACAAGTTCACAAAATCCGTCAGTACGCAGTCACTTTGTCGGTCAAGTTCACTTCGGTGCACTGTTCCACAATAAATGCAAATTCATAAAAAAACTGCTGTAAAACTGCTCAAACTATCAATTAAATCTAGTGAAATTTCAAAAAAAGAAGGAGTGAGAGAAAACAGCAAATGCTGAAGCGAGCACAATAACATCACTGAACACAACAAAAAAATACAAGGCATCGAAATAACAAAAAGACCTGCATCAACGAGAGTTGCAGAAAAGTGGCCAAATGAAAATTGTGTATTTCACTGAAAGCTGCCAGTGCCTAAACAAAACATTGCTACTGTTTACGTTTGGTTGCATCTGTGCATACTGTTGTTGTTTTTTTGCAGTAAAGCTCATTTATTGCTGTTCGAGGTAATGATATTGTAGAAAAATTTACATACCCTCATGCCCAGGATCTATACCTGACGAGTTCAGGTTGCCTTTCATAAGGCACCCTTTTGATGGGATAAGGGAAGTTTCTGAAACTCACCTTGTACTTTCTTAATACTTATACTTTTCTCGTCCTTTCGTAACTGGCCTTACGACCGTAAGTTAAGGTCGGTTAATGAATACGGCGGTTAAAGGCATGTTATTATGGTGTGCTAAACTCAGAGCTGAACTTTCTGAATTTATTGAATAAAATGGTCATGTAACAAAGCTGTAGAAGAAAAAATAAAGCTCATCGATTATGTCTGAGAAGTATAAGAGTTTAACAGAAATTTGTGACTATTCAAACTGCACAGCACCTATTGTTAGCATGTTTTAGAACATGTCGGACATCTTGAATTCGACGCTTCCAGCCAAAGCGGTGCAAATATTCAGCTTTAGCTTGCATATTATGCTCCCTAAACTGTTCCAAAAGGTAAGCGCGGCACTGCACTGACGACAACGAGACAGAAAGAACACACACAAGCGCTAGCTTTCAAGAATCGCTTATTGAATCACAGAATATACACATGAAGAGGCAGACACTCAAGCATGCGCAAATGTGGTGGCATGAAGAAATGGCAGTTTTTTCCTAGATAATGATAAAGATCGGGTGCCGACACACTTTTGGCCTATCTTTTGTATCGTAGTAGCCGATTCTACAATCAACCGCATGGTTTCATCTTTGTGCATGCTAATAACTGAGCATTTGTCAAGCACAGGTGAACACCCACACGCGCAGCAACGCGAGGACAACATACCATCCACTCCCTCCTTAACATTGTTCTTGTGCTCTCTAAGCCTGTCGTTGAGGCACGTAGAATTTCCCACTTGACACGGGGAGCTGGTAAATGACACCTTGCTCGTATTGCACGTGGCATGTTCTGTGATTTATGTCACAGCCCCGCGCTTTGCGAGCAGTTGGCTTGCTGAGCCTGCACAATTTTCCCAACTTGTTCGGAGCCAGCTCGAGTGCCACTTTTTTGTTATATTGTGAGAAATCTTGTGTAAGAAGGTGATAGTTCCATACTTCCCCCGGGCATTCGTAGTAATTTCTGTACTTTGTTGGCAATCTAAAGGCTTTTTGAGCAGAGATTCTGCGACCAACATTAGGAGGTGGTCGGAGTAGCCTGCTTGTTCAAGGGGAGCCATTCGGCAGTGAAGGCCAGTCGCCATGAAATGGCAACATGATTTGCTCAGAGCACCTCTCCTAACTAATTTTTAGTGTGACAAAAAAAAAAATGGCAGCAAAGATATGTTTCCCCTTAGGTCGTACGCGCAGCCCGTGTACTAAAAATATAAACATACGTCTAAGAACCATTCTCACCCGGGACTTCATGAGTGAGCACAAGGATGACAAGAGATATTATGTTAGAAGCTTCTGGTTCAAAAGAATCTTTGTCACACTTGATAAAAAAATAGAATGTCGCCAACGTATCTAAAACATTTAAGAACACACGTTCCCGTGAGATGCGCCAGGAGGATCCCGATGAGGCTGCCTAGAAACAAATCACTAAGAATAGGCACGATGGATGAACCTGTACATATTCCTTCTTTCTGGATAAAAGCCTTCCCGTCCCACTGGATGTAAGTGGAATGGGGTACATAGCTAATCGTCCTACAAATGTCTGGATGAAATGCTCAAAGAGTCTTTAAAATCTATACAGCCAAACTGAATCAGAGCATTAATACATTCAAGCAAGGTGCCACGAGGCAACGAGTAGCAGAGGTATTTTATGTCAATAAGGTCTTCACTGGATCGGGGGATGATGACATCCAAGGCTTCTCGCGAATTTTTTACATGGAAGAGATCATTTACTATAAAAAATTTAGGCTTTTCTTGAAGGAACATGGCTAAGGCCTTCTGGCAAGTTTTTGTTCCGGAAACAATTACTCATAGGGGTGTTTCTGGCTTGTGCATCTTAGCACTGAAAAATATTTTAAGGCAGTCGATCCTACTCACATTTTCCAAATTTTGCCAGCACATTGTCTAACCTAAGCTTTTCACATAAGTCTTTTGCCCTTTTCTTGATAGCGATCATGCGTACACCTATGTGACAATCAGGTTACTGGAGATAGCTTCATTAGCCTTGGAAAGGAAAAGGTCATGAGACACTATCGCGAACCCCTCCTTTTTTATCTGCTGGAAAAAAACATACAGAATCGTCCTTGATAAAAAAAGAACTTGTTGAACAGAAAGTTTTGATGATGCCTGCTTACATCGGGTCAACACGTTGATCTAATGCATCGCGGTTTCTCAGATTTGGTTGTTATGCGGGCAACACGATGCACGTACGACAGACACCATTTCTTTCACTCCCCCTCCCCTAACTTTTCATGAGTTTTCTATGAAAAAAAAGTGTGATGATTGTACGAGTAAATAGGGTTACTTAAAATTGTGGTAACGGTCAGGAAGGAAACAAGGAGAGACCAGAGTGGTGTAATGACACAAATGAGGAATGCACAATAACTGTTTGCACACAAGGTTTCACTTCATGACATAGTTTACCCCCGTGCTAATGAAAATTTGATGAACAACCTGCAGCGAGAGAAGATGCACTCCTGTTCAAGCTTTTGATGATCTTTTCCAAGTTGCTGTCGCCCCAGTTGCCACGCCGGAGAGTGCCAAACAAGGCGTCCTCTTTGTCCTGAGCCTCTTCATGTACAGTGTCCTCAGAGAAGCAGAACAAGCGGCCCTCATACAAGTTGAACAGCTCATGAACAATGCAGTACTTGCACCTGCACATAGAGTTTGACCGCAGCTTTTAGAATGAGGCAAAGATCCCAAGACATGAGCCGCTTTCTTTCACTCTACACGAAGCCAAGTCAGACATGCTTTCCGCACCATTCCACAACATGAGCTGTGGCTGGCTTTTGAAGGCATGTTGCAATACTTTTATAGTGCCTACACTACACCTCTGGCCACACTGGCCTAAGCCTGTCTTTCATAATGTTCTTTTCTCCATACGTTTCATTATGTCCAATGAGGATGGATTTAGTATAATTAATTCCTGTGCATCTCACCATAATTAAGCTCAGTTACTTTCATACTAGCACTTCCTTTCAGAATGATTTTCGCAGCTCTGACAAGTGCTCCTGTGTTTTAAAAGTTAACTGAATCATAAGCAGTTTACCAAAACATTAAACTTGTAAAAATAAAAAAAAAGGAATTTCAACATTTCCATTATGAAAATCTCACCATTTATTGCGAATAATGCAGTCTAAGATTCTACTTAAAAAACGACAATACAGTAAAGCTTGGTGAATTCAAACCAACTGGGGTCGCGAAAAATCTTTGAACTAAGTGGGTTTTCGAATTAACAGAACATACAAAAAGTGGAATGCAAGGAACTTGTAATTATTCGAACTAAACAGGGCTGATCGTTTGCTGTGCTGGCTAGTTGCAGCTCCAAGGGTTATGTTTTTGCGAAATATATGGTCTAACTTTTGCTGCAAACACGAAGGAGCGGCGGGCCTCGCTGCTGCCACAAAAAAGAAGAAAAAATGCAGTTGTGATCAATTTAAATTCGCGCTCACGAAGCATGTAGTCTGCTCCTCACTGCGTCAGCATGTCATGATGAGACCACACCCCCAATCTTTCTGGTAAAATAAAGAATTTAACAACGGCCAGTGCAACGAAATTAGTGATATGCTTTGACTAGAAAATATGATAACTGAAGTTTTCGTATTAGCTTTCGAAGTTGGCGTTGTTGGCAAGAGCTCTTCCAGCAGTACAAGTGCGTGAATTGCTAGAGCAACTGGCAATTGGAAATTTGCATGCATCGGTAATCCCATAAAACTGTCGTCTATTAAATTTCTTTACGATTTCAGAAAAGATATGTAAATCATGACCTGCTTACCAAGCAAGAAACATGCAATATCTGCCCACGCGTCACCACTGTGTTGCAGTGGAGCACGTTTTTTTTACGCAGGTGCAGGATTCGATTGACCACGAGACAGTTTTGTTATTGTTTTTTTCTATTTTCTCTTTTGCACTGGAGAAGTGAGGCTGGGGTGCTTCAGCTGCCACTTGTTACTATCGCTACGTTGCACTGCCTTGTGGCTCTTGAGGAACATGGTTTCTGTGGATTTGCGGTGAAATCGGGATCAGCAATTAGCACATGGCACACAAAGTTTTAAAATTTACTGGACTGGTGCTGACCACCACTTCAAATTATCTGCTCAGACTTACATTGAAAAATACGGGACCACGAAAATATTTTGAATCAAGCGAGATTTCAAGATAACCGTGTTCGAATGTAATGAGGTTTTACTATTTGAGTACCCAACAACTTGCAGTGAGTCAAATGCAACCAACTCGGCCTGGTAACTGCAATAAATATTTCAACAAATTTCATGCTAACACTTTCAAACTTCATTCACATCCATTGACATGCAACTAACTTTAAGCATATCTACCACCGAAATGTAGCCACTAAAGACAAGATTTGATCCCACAACCTTTGGGTCAGTGTTCAAGCACCCTATCCACTTGACCCCTGCATCTTATTGAATGAAACTGGGCCCTGTACGCAAAGTACAGTGATAGCGGCAAGCACAATTGTTGGTCATCATGAATCTGGTTCGACAAGTTTGCTATTAATGTGAGCTGCTTGTGATCCTGTGTCTTCCAAAATGAGCTTTACTGCTTCTATTTGTGCCTGTAATCTGGTTAGAATTCTAAAATGTTCCGATACATTCAAGTGCACTTTGTGCTGAGCTGTATGAACAATGTCAAAGAAACACAGTAACAGTGAAAAGCAAAACAGGTATGAATGTCCGAGTTGGCTAAGCATACTGATGAGCCATGCTCACTTGTTTCTTTTCTTCTTGCTCGGCCTGAGATGGCATTCGACAGCTGCGGAGACCTCCACTGGCGACGACGGGTTGGCCGAGAGATCCTGGACTGCACCAAGCAGCTCCTCCCTTGCTGCCTCCAGTTGCTCCACATGTGTGCCCATCACATACTGCAATCCATGAACTGTGCTGAACCTGCAACCGATTAATGTTACTTGAATTACTTCTTACCACCCTCGAGAGCCGTCATCGACTAGGAGCGTGAAAAGCTTTGCTTCGCATGTTCCCCAGAATCCCTCTGATTGGGGAGCAAACATTGCCACTTTCAGTTCTGTTACCTTGACTTGGCACCTAAAGACATAGATTGCACAATGGTTATTACAGGTGTGAAGACCCGCTACAAACAGCTTGCACAAAATGGCCAATCAAGCAGGTCACAACTACCGTCAGGGTGAGTCGACCCATATCATGGTACACTCAAACCTCATTATAATGTAATGTTATATAACGAAATAATGGATATAACGAAGTAAATGCTATTCCCCTTGAAAGCTCATTGAGAACTATGCATTTTAAACCTCATTTTAACGAAGTAATATTGACCGGTAAATGAATATAATGAACTAAATTAGTCTATCGAATAGTCTATAAAAGAAAAACGACCGTAGTGTGTTAAGTACATCGTTTTCTTCAAAACTACAGCGCTGACCTTACAACCACACCACGCACGGCCGAAAGAGCCGTCCTTCTCACACAGCCAGCCGAGAGGATTGAGGAAGTGCTCAGCGGGTCACATGACCGAGAAGCAGCGCAGAGGTGCAAAGCGATTCCCCTCTCCGCGCCTTAAAGACGACAGCAACGACTGTGTCTCCGCTGCTACCATGGCTGCTACCCTGTGCACCTAGAAAGAAGAACTCTCCGCAACAGCTTTCTTACTCTCTCTCTCTCTCCGTGCGTGGTCTTGAAAGGAGAAGGGTCTCTACGAGCAAAGATGAAAAAGGGAGAAGCGTGGAACAGGCATGTCGCAGATCAGCATTTTAGAGAGAGCAAACAATCCGCCACAGTCTTTTTTTTCCCATTTCTTTTTTTCCTTCTTCGCGCGCAGCATTGAGAGGTGCCGCCGCGGGATTGGGCATGGTGCTGAGAGCCTTTTCGGAGCACAGTATGTTCGAATTAACCGTCGCAAGTGCTTGCGCGTTCGAATTACAGGGCGTTTTCGCCCATTGGAATACACATAACCTTGACAACCTCAGCGTGAGTTCTAATGAACCGGAAGTTCGAATTAAGAGTGTTCAAATTAATGAGGTTTGACTGTGTATTTTCTGCCGCACACGTGGTCACGTAGTGGCACATCGGGCCGTGAGGCGGTTTCCTTCTTTGCTTATAGGTGTGCGCCCATTTGAGCATAAATTGCCACACTCTTATAATCAATATAACAAAATAATGAATATAACGAAATAATTGTGGCTCCCCTTCAACTTGGTTATAACGAGATTTAAGTGTATATTCAGCCGCAGCACAACAGACCAAGACACAATTCCAAACTCGATTCTTCTTGGTGCTGCCACTAGATGTTGTTTACAGCTGCCAGAAGCTTCAAAGAAGAAACGTGATTGACTGCAAAGAACCAGAAGGTTCTCTGGAATCTACATGGAACTGAGTAAGTGCCGCAAGGATTGAAAGAGGGCACCAACCTCTTGAACTGGCAAGACAACGAATGTAGTGAATTACGAAATCGAAATTGCAGATAACATGGGAAATGACATTGTGCTCCATGCAGTGTCAATTATGGCTATTGGTTGTATGTACATCTGCGTACATGAAAGAGGAAAGGCAAAGCTTCCCTTTTCTCAGTAGGAGAAAGCTTACTTATGTTTGGCATACTTTCTCTGTAATAACATATTTTTGGTGTTACATTCAGGCGAGACGACTATATTGAAAACCTGGGCATGTGAAGAGCAACAGCACACGATGCTCAGTACGTGTCCTGCACCTTGGTGTGAAGAAAACCAAGACCAGCACCAAGCTTGCACGCGCTTGGGGGGATTCAAATACTACTAAATAAAAGGATTTGCCCGCCGTCGCCTTGGAACCCTTCTGATCACGACTGTTACAGCCCGTTACGTTACACGTTATGCAGACATTATGTTACAGCTTTTGTATGACTATAGCTGCAATTGCAACAGCCACTGCACAGGCATTCTTGTGAAGAATGTGAGGATGAGTCAGCAGCCAACGATGTCTAATATAAAGGGGGTAAAGTTATTGTTGACATTTTAAAATATTCATACACATAGAGTAACCCACAGCTCATAGCTCTTGTCCTTCACGATAAATGAACGAATGAAATGCACTCACATTTTTCCAGAACAGTGCCAAAATCGAGAGAGGCATTGAAAATAGTTGACACTGTCCGCGTGACAAAGTCACAGAATCTATTCAAGACGTTAACCCATCTTGTACAAAATTTCTGCAATTATATAGCTTTTTCTGAAAACCAACAAACCTTTTCAAGTTTTGTTGAAGCAGAATCGCGAGTTGGGCGAGTTGGTGGATGTTCATCACGGAATGTTTTACAGCGCAACGGGTTAGATACAAACAGAGAAGGGACACAGAACTGAACTCTCAATTAAAGTTTATTTGGAAAAAGAAAGGACATATATAGGAGTTCAGCGCTGTGTCCCTTCTCTGTTCGTATCTAACCCGTTGCACCCTAAAATATTTCACGATCAAGTTTTGTTTATGACTCGTACATTGTGAGCAGTTATCATTGCAATGTACACTGTTTATTTTCTACCATGCTTGTTGTAAGTTACTTTTCTGGCTTTGACTAGCAAAGAGCTAATGCTACAAAAGCAATTAATACAAAGCTCAATTTTTTTGTTGAAACAAAAGGCAATCCTCTTATATGAACAGAAATTGCAAGAAAGCTCGCACCAAAGCTACACTGTCGAGACAGATACTCTTGCTTGCAATTTATAGTATAAAGCACAATTATTTTTGAGAACTAATAGTTTACTTGAGCTGTATCATTATACAATATTATGTTTTATCTGTCTATTCCACCATACTATGTTCTTTCACAATACTATTCGGGTATGTGCCAGAGGTAATAGACATTTTCTATGTAACCAGAAATGGCAAGAACACATGTGGGTACTTTAGCGCTTGATCATTAAAAAAAAGCTGCTATAGGCAGCGTAGACCAGGGGAATCGAAACAATAAATGTCAGTGTCCAAGCAGGAATCGAACTCTACCATTCTGTGGGGCAATGAAGTATTCTACCAGATGGCCACACCAGGCCTCAGATATACTTTTCAAATAAACCCTCATGCTCGTGTTATGTCAATTGTGGTTGAAGTACTGGCTATTTAATTTTATAAACATCTCATATGTGCCCCTATGATACAGCCGTCATGTCTGATTAACATAAATGGCAGTTAGGTGCCAGCCGCTGAAGTTGATTTGTGTAGCAGTGTTGACAGCTACCTTTCTGGCGCACACTAGCGCGAACACCAGCACTTCATATCAGCTTACCGATTGTGGTATTTCTAATATCTATGTTGCAGTTGTCATCGTTACGCAACTGTAAACAACTGCTAATATAAAATATATGCTGCTGTTTACTGTATGTGTCTGTGTAGATTTGTACATATTGCTCCGGGAAGAAAGGTGTTTAAGAAAAATATTTACTACGAATAAACAGGCAGGCGTACAAGATGGAGTTCAGTCTGCACGAGAGCTCAAACATCGTCTTCTTCCATATCAAGTTCGTCTGTAGCACCCCGTAGCACCACACTCGATGGCGAAGGCACCACTTCGGTGCTCGGTTGGTCCGAGTGATATCGCTTCAGCCGAGTGATGTGAACAATGTGAGAACACGATCGCGTGCTGGCGTTGGGAAGTGGTTCAGTTTCATAGGTCACGTCGGTGACTTGGCGCACAACACAGTATGAACCCGAGTACGGCAAAGTCAGCTTTTTGCACAGGCCACTTCGCCATGAAGGCGTGCAGAGAAGGATCATGTCACCATGTTTGAAGTGGATATCACGGTGGCGGGCATTGTAGAGCAGTCATTGGCATTCTTGCAAATCATTAAGCAATCTGACGTTCCTGTAGAGCTCAGCAGATAACATCGCGGGCGCAGTCTGATGTGTGCGTAACGGTAGGAAAGAGTGTGCCAAAACGCAGGGTGGGTTCTCGTCTGTACATGAGAAAAAATGGTGAGAAACCTGCAGTGTCATGCTAGTACCTATTGTAGGCAAATGCCACAAATGGGAGGGAAGCGTCCCACTCACGATGGTCGAAGAAAACGTACATGGCGAGAATTTCTATGATACACTCAGACCATATCATAACAAAGTTGCATGTTACACGGAATTAAGTTCATTAGATCCAAAAATTCGTTATAAAGGTTTATTGCTAACACTATATCAACTGCATGACAATATTTCATTTACTTAATTATAACCAGTATTTCGATATATCTGGGTTCGTTATATTGAGGTTTCAGTGTAGTTTGATTTAGTTGTTCTGTGAGCCCATTGGTTCATAACAGGCTGATGTGAACTTGAGTTTTGTAGCGCAAGAATGCAATATGTCTTGGATAATTTGGGATAGAAAGTAGCGACCCCGATCATTTAGTTGTCGAGAGGCACCAAGGTGTAGTATTACGTCTTTTAGGAGAAATTCAGCGACTTCTATTGCTCAACTCATAGGAAGGGCCCGCGTGACGACATACCGAGTGGTGTAGTCTAGTCCGTGGTGACTGCTATCCACTTGTTCCCACTGACCGATAAATGAAAAGGGCCAAATAGGTCAAGACCTACCCAATAAAATGGTTTTGATGGTATCTAAATGGGCTAAAGGGGTCCCGCTAGAAGGGTTGCTGGTTTTTTCGGTCTTGAGAGGGTTTGAAAGAAGCGTTGTAGGGGTAGATGGATCGGTACATGTTGTGGGGATCTGAGGCGCGCCTGCGACCATTTCGCGGGCATTCCGCCACACGGCCACACCCTTATGCTTTCCTGCTCTGTTAACACCACGTGGCGATAGATGGCGCCAAGTGCGGGCACGGCACGCGGTACGCGCGCGCCGAGGGAGCGCTCTCTTCTCCGTGGTCAGCGCCGGGTAAGCACGTGTTTTCCTTCGTCCGCGTCCCCTTTAGGAATCACTGGACTGCAGCCTGCCTGGGGTG